CCCCCCCCCCCCTTCTTCCCCCCCCCCCCCCCCCACTTTTTTGTTCAGTTGCCAGAGTGAGAAAAGGAAGAGCTGTGTAAGCTCAGAGTCATTCTTGTCAGAACTTACACAGGGCTGACAGCTTTCTTCCTGCCTCCCATCTGATGACACGATCAAACACAAGAAAGTATTTTGTTCACTTCCGACAACTTAACATATTGGCGGGGGGGGAAAAGAAAGTCATGTGGGTGACAAGCAGAAGTGTTGAAATTTATAGGAAGAATTCAGTCGGAGAGTCTCTTTAAAAATGTTAACTTTTAAAATGTTAAGACCTAAAAGTGCATTTCCACTTTTGCAGCCGAATTGGGATAACATCTATTTTGTATTTGTTACATGCCTCCATTCACATAGCAGAAGTTAAAAAAATTGCTTCTTGCAGGTTAAATGGTTTTTACGTGGGTTGTTTTTTTTTTTTTTTACTTCTTAAGGGTTAACATTTCTACTTGATTCTCCTTTTGTATTAGGAGGGGCTGTGAGGGGAGATGGGCTAAAGGATTACAACACTGGCTTTTGCATTCAAATGTTAATGAGAAAAATACCATCTTCTAATGTGAGTCCTAAACATTTCTATAAGTACAGATCACTGACAGTGCTGAGAAAATCCTGGGATTAGCCATGTTGCCTGCGGCAACAAAACATCTACAAGAGGTAAGAAATTATTTTTGGTATGCTGTGTGAATAGATACACATAACAAACATAGTGAGGTTTTCTCAAATTTGATTACAAAAGTGGAAATGCACTTTAAGAGGGATCACTCTGAAGTTGATTAAAGGAGAACTATGGGGTTAAGGCTTTTCCCCATAGTTCTCCTTAGGGTAATGGGAGGACACAAACTAGCGTCCTCCCGTCACCCTAAGCTCAGTATACCGCAAACTACAGCTCGCGGTATACTGAGAAGCCGCAGCTGAAGCGGATCCCGACAATTATGTCTGGATCCGCCCAGCTGCGTGAGTGACAGCTGGCTCTGCCTATCTAGAGGCAGAGCCAGCTGTACCCGCCCCCTCGCCAGTCAGCGCTGGAGGATCGGGGAGGGGGGAATCCAGCCCCTCCCGTCACGGCAAAGAGCCGTGACAGGATCGTGAAGTGAGCAAACGCCGGTATGTGTTCGCTCGCTTCCCGATCTACTGAGCCGTCCTGTGACAGTCTCATTGTCACAAGTCGGCTAGAACTATGAGGTGAGTGGAAAGCAGCTTACCAGTCCTTGTATGTGATGGCTGCATTTGTTTTGTTCCCTTTATTTTTACCTGGTAAAGGACAAGTAGTTTCAAGTCTTAGCAGGAAAAATAATGCAGCCGTGACATCTAAGAACTGAAACTGCAATATATTACATTTCTGTTTTGCGGTTTAGATAACATCACATTTCTATTGCCTAATGGAAACCAGTTACTAGGTCTGGTTCTCTAGCACTCTTACAGTTTATCTCATATTACCACTATATGTCCATGAAAGTAAGTTGTTCGGCATCTTGCAAGGTAGAGCAGTGCCTAGCCAGAAAAGGACTACTTTGACGTCGTTGACCAGGTTTAAAAAATGTATTGCAAAACTAAGAATCCCTGTTCCTAAGAAAAGTGTGCTCGAGGGTGCGCAGCAGTGCATGACCAGTTAAATTGGTCATTCAAAGCTAGCATGCAGGCGTAAACGCAGTGTAGTCAGAACTCCTGATATGTACACATATTTAAAGTCAGTTGTTCAGAGTGTACTGAAGCCACTGAATTAGCAGAAATGTTAGCAGCATTTTCAGAAGTAGGTTAACAATAATATCCTTTCATTTCTTAGGACAGGTTTCCTTTAAATACAGTACATGGATATATTTGGGAATCAGTGATTTTCAATTCATTTGATGAACAATTTACAATTTATTGTTATGGAGCACTTTGACCAGTGCCAAGGGAGAGGATGACGCTATATAGATTAGTATTAACAGAAATGACTTGTGAATTTGAACATTCTTAGCCCCTTTTACTAGTACTGCAGTGCAGTCAGTAATATGTTTAGATTGTAAGCTCTCACGGGCAGGGCCCTCTCCTTACCATCTTGTCTTGATTTGTATTGTAACTATAATGTCCTCCTTATATTGTAAAGCGCTGCGCAAACTGCTGGCGCTATATGAATGCTGTATCATGTATGTACTGTTCAGTAACAAGTTACTTTGAACAGATCCATTTTGAATGCTATACACACCTGAAAAACTGGTTCTGCAAATCCTAATAGGAGGCGAGCATTTTTGGCACCCAAGTATCGATTAACAAGGGACATCCAGCCAAATGAAAAGCGAAACTCAATGTCTTCCTGGAAATCGGAGCACAGCTTCTCACAATTCAGATTGTAGCTGAGGTCAAACGTCTTGCATGGCAGGGATGGGCCATATTCCTTTTGAACAGCAGGTGGCAGCAATGGTTTTAGGCTTTCTGCAATTGTAAAACCCATTTTTGTTAATACAGTGCAGAACTCGGAGCACAAGGGAATGTGCAAGTTTTACTTCCATTACAAATCCAAGTAAAATACAAGGATTATTTCCCACTCTCGCATAGCAGAGCCTTGCCAACTAAACCATTTTACTGTACTAGATGAGCCTTAAAATGTAGAGTCTTTAAATACTGAATGAGGTGGTTGACCACACAGCTGGCTTCTGTCCAGATACAGAAATAATGGATCTCATGACATCTGGAGGAACACAGCAAGTGACCCCAACACTTTCATGTGCCCAGAAAGCGTAGGCGGTAGTGCTTCTATGAGCACAACACAAATTCCTTTCCTTTTTACAAGGCTTTAAGTACTTTACAGACCACCATAAGATAGAAAAAACAAAAAAGCGCCAGAGGGGACTGCTCAACCAGTACAAACCAATGTACACATGAATAAAATTAGAATCAAAGTCTATTTGGAAATTGATGATTGAATAAAAAATTGGTGAATGAGTAGAATAAAAAACACGTTTAAAAACACGTTTAAAAGATGTGTGTCTGTAGGATGCTGCCCCAAATCAGCCGGGGAGACTGTAAATCTAGGGAAAAAACACAAACAAGGGGCGCCTTTCCTGGTGCAGACAAATTTAATAAGATCAGAATGGAAGAAAAATATAAAACATACTCCCAAAATTCATGATAGAAGTATAAAAAGTATATAAGTTAGGTCCATGGACCCAAGGTGAAGTCTATGAGAGCTGCACAGCCGTGTCTATGTGTCAGCAGGAGACTGTGTGCTGTATGATGACGCGTTTCCGGGGTCACACCCCCTTCATCAGATACAGACCTCCTCCGTCCCATGTGCTAGATAAAGAGATGACTGGCCAATCAGCAAGTATGCGGGAGCCCTGTCGGTTTAAACCGCAGCTGTTACAGGGCTTATATAACGAGTCCTCCGTAACTAAAGACATTAAGCCCTGTCCTGTGACTGACAGATAGCCCGTCATGGCGCTGGACCAATCATAAGAGGGCTATACGTGGGCTCGCCTGGAGGGAGTGGCCAGTGTTAGCATCCAATCCACGAGGCAGAAAACCGAACCTTGTTCTGCCAAGTGGCGTATTGATTGTGCAGCATGTCAGCTGTACAGCAAGCACTATGAGAGGGAGGTGGACTGTTTACAGAGAGCAATTTAGAACACATACCATGACAAATGTAAACAGTTCATCGTCAGCTAGCAGAGGCTATGCATGCCATGACACAACAAATTTAGGCAGATAAGCAAGAAATATTGTATAAATTGCACAATAGGTAAATATATATATACAAACATGTACACAGATATATACAATCGGGACCAGATGGGATATACATAACCCCTATCTGAGACAGACATGAATAAACCATGTATGTGTATAGGAGAATGATGGTTATATATATGAATATGCATGGAATTAATGAAATCAATTTTAGAAATCAATTTATAAAAACAACCAATGAAAAAAATGTGAATAAGATGCGTATGAATAAATTATCGGCATTAATGTGTCTTGGCCGACAGGGCTCCCGCATACTTGCTGATTGGCCAGTCATCTCTTTATCTAGCACATGGGACGGAGGAGGTCTGTATCTGATAAAGGGGGCGTGACCCCGGAAACGCGTCATCATACAGCACACAGTTTCCTGCTGACACATAGACACGGCTGTGCAGCTCTCATAGACTTCACCTTGGGTCCATGGACCTAACTTATATACTTTTTATACTTCTATCATGAATTTTGTGAGTATGTTTTATATTTTTCTTCCATTCTGATCTTATTAAATTTGTCTGCACCAGGAAAGGCACCACCATAAGATACTCCAGTTTACTATATGCTATGGCAGAAACAGTTCATAAGATTACAAGTACACTATAGAACACTTACTGGACGATAAGACTCCCCAACCACTAAAACTTAAGAGGAAGACGAGCATCTCCTAATACACTTATTACGGCTCACTGCTGTTTAATTGCATTCTATAAAATAGCGTTCAATGCCCTCAATAAATCCTTGATGTCGCTGTAAAGATGTTTTCAGGTTTAAAGTGTAAGGCAGATCCTTTTATGCGCCTTTTGAGCACACCTTTCTAATATTAGAAATATGAAGCTGATGTCAAGACACTTTATGACTCCTTGCAGCAGTTCCAAATCCAAAAGCTTTATTCAGGCCATAAAAGCTATGACAGACGTCCTATAAAATAACTGCATCCCCAGTGAGCTTTATTTAGTCTTACTGGCTGGAAAAGCAGCTTTTTGCTGTTTAATTTTTTTTTTTTTAAGGGCAGGTTCCAGATCTCTGATAAGCAGATGAATTGGATTTCTCTGTTCGGCCTATTTCCTCTACCTGTATGCACTTTAACTGCTGATTGCGCTGTTAAAGGGATCTGTAAGGAAAACAACACAGAAACTGCCAACTGAGCTGGAACAAGAGTGCAGCCAGTAAAGCCTGAAAGTCTCAATCAGTATGCAAGGTCCAATGTTAATTACTCACTAGGTAATAAAGTTACCAATGACAGATACAATATTTCTGTCTACAAAGACTTCCTTCAACAGGTTATCAGCTAACAGACAAATATCAGTATTAGACTCACTGCCATTCTGAATAAATAACCATTTATTAAAAGGGTATAACATAGGTTACACAAAATCATTTGGGCACGGTCCTGTCCAGGATCCATCTATACCTGCTGAGTACCTACATAAAGGGTTTCATATGCATATAGCTTACGGAGTGAAAAATTTATCTACGCAAATATGCCAAGTTGCTACTTCATCAGTAAGCAGCTAAGAATAGGCTGAAAGATCTGAATCGGTTATTATTATGATGTGGCCAGTGAAAAGAATGGTTAAACCCACAATAACCTTGACTTTCCAGGGTTACAGGAACATGTTGCACTGTCTGGCTGATGAACGGACTATGAAAGGGTACCTTATTGTATCCAATAGCGTTCAGTGGGTCCAGGTGAAAAGGACATAGATTAAATGACAAGACATGCCATATTTCTAGATGGTATCTACAGAGAGTTAAGACACTACACCAAGAAGCACCTAATGTTCACCAGATCTGGTTTTAGTGACTCGTGGCCATTACCTATGATGTTATCATGTGCTTCCTGTATAGATGTAGTCACTGCAGAGGAACAGCGGTCAGCCAGCTTTCTCCCCATCCCCTTCTCTATGTGGGCATTCAGCTCCTACAATAAGAGTAAGCAGATAGTCAGAACAGAAGTAACACTCAACAATCATACAACGCCACGTACTTTAAACAGCCCCGATGCTGGCGACGTACACTGTACGTCGTCAGTCACCAAGGGGTTAAATGAATATGTGCATTGAAAGGCATTGTTTACTAACACAATTCTAGTCAGGCATGGACATTGGGCTCTAAAAGGGCACATTTTCCAGCATGTAGAAAGATTTGAAAATTCTAATTTAATCTGAGACCACCAACCATATATTCTAGAAGCAGAAAAGCCAAACTATCTAGGATCAGGAACAACAGCCTTAATCAAGACAAACATTTATCTCTCTATTACAGGTAAGTCTGAGAAAAATATCTAAACCTAGCAAAATATCAGACAAGAAACAGTTTGGAATATACAACTTGCATTTTTATAATGCTTCAAGAACTGTGGTGATGGGTGAAAGTCCCCTTCAAACTTATCCACTAGGAGGGAAAGATGGCAGATCTCCTCCATCATGGCACTGGAAACCTGTAAACACAACACAAGGGCTTACTCTTCCATTGACATGTCAGATACTTCGTTCTCAGCATACAACTGTCATTCACTCGCACCTTTTAGACATAAAATATACACCCTTCATATTTCTGACTAGCATGCCAGCCAAGACTGTCACTGGGACACAGAAGATCCTGAGTGGCAGTATGCTACAAGCATTCAAAGCATGCCAATTATAAACACTGCCCCTTGTGATATGTAATGCGGAAGCCAAGTGACAGTCTACATAGTTAGGAGAATGGACCGAGCAAAGTCATTTGTATTCCTTTTTCTGCCACGGAGAAAGGATAACCTTTGAACAGACCATACCCTCAACATCAAGGTAATGAATAAATCAGTGTACACAGATACTACTAACCAAATATAATGTGAACCTGTGACGTATCTTGTGGCAGACTATAATCCTCACCTGTGCGTTTACCACCTCTGTGATGTGCATTATTTGTTTCCGGATCTCCTCATTGAGGATCTGCATCTGACACTGGATAAACTCCAGCCTGTCCATTTCATACTCCCGGTCTTCTATTGCATTCACTCTGAAAATGACCAAACACACTACAACTCAGCAGATACCTGGCACAGCTTACATGCAATAGTAACATCGTTACCACAGACCATAGTACATCAATACAGAATTTTAAAATGGGTTTGTTGTTTCATTTATTTATCCTAAAAAAGAAACAGAGCATGCATCATATACGAACCTTAAATATACTGGGACTTATTAATGAATAGCATAATAGAATATATTAAACCAGAAGAAGCATATGGTATTTATTAAGGAATGAAATGCATGCAATCCTACCTCTTATCAGCAGCCTTGATGTTTATGGAATCCATAATGGCTTTCACAGTATCTGTTATTTGTTTAGCTCTGACAGTGTGGTGTTCAAACTTTGTTTTCACTGCTGACTGCGAGATACACTCCTGTGGGGTCCAAGTCACAACACATTACTGTGATCCCCTCCAAACCAGTCAGGAATAACAACAGGTAGATGGCACTGAGCAGCACCGGAGGAGAGGCCTTGCTGCTGCTCACAAGGAACGCAAATGAAAATAAAAGTGACAAACACTGAAACACACAGCATAACATAATGCAGCAGCAGGCCTGTATCCTCCCTACAGTCTGCATAGCACAGTAATGTGATAAGTTTACTCTAAAAGTGGAAATAAATAAAGCAGAAGTCTAGATGAATGTACGACAATATATTTAAGATGTAATATAAAAGGAAAGACATAAAAAAAGGAAAAGCACAGAAAAAGCAAGAAATTATTGTTCCCCAAAGAAGTAAATCTAGAGGTCAGCAATGACGAACAAGAGCTTGGAAGATGAGCGCACACTGTGAGAGCTGGATTAGGAGGGTGCAGACATTGAGAGAGGACTAATAGAGGAGAGAGGTTAGTAACGGCACAGCAGGGAAAAAATCACAGGTTAGTGTAGAGAAGAGTCTACATAGAGGAAATCTACATTTTATAGAGCTGTATAACAACAACAAACACCTAAACAAGCATCCCGTTGGAACCTTGAAAGGAACCTGGCATTGCCAAATATCATTTAGTAACAATTGATTTCCATTTCAGAGCGAGCTGCTAAAAAGCACATTAGCAGTTCTCTCTGACTACCCTTACTCAAAGATCTCTAACGTTTTTATTGTGTTTTTGCATGTTTCAACCGTTTGCACATTTCATTTTTATAGCTCTTCGATACACAGTTTTCATGGAATGTATTATACCACAAATGATGCTCTTCCCCAAATTTTGGAAAAAAAAAAATTGTCTTTCCGATATAATTCGTTTTTTTTTTCCTTCACTCTTAACCAGGCAAAATCCAAAAATGTCAACGGGGAACGTAAAGTGACCTAAATTCAGGAGTTAAATCGTAAAAATGCTTTCAAGTACCTTAACTACTAGTAGTTTATTTGTGTATCACTCGACTGTAGATCCTCAAATCATCCCTGAATTCATGCTGACACTGTCCTTCCTTCTGGAGGGTGGCTACTTTTGTTCCCCTTGGTCCCTGTGTGTGTTGCAAAGTAGTCACTGCTACAAGCTCACTACTGTGATAGACTACAAATTAGTAAAATAAATTCCTAAGACTAATGTCACAGTGGTGATTCTGCCACAAGCAAAAATTTGCCAGAGACCAAATCTAGAAAATGCAGGAAGAACATTTACCTGCTTTTTATGAGTCAGTCCCTCATGGGATTTGGCAATGAGGGGTCACTCCCTCCCCACTGAAATTGCTTAAAAATTAAGTTGACCACCAGAAAGGAACAGCTCGCTCTTCCAGCCGCCAAGAAAGATGCAGATGAGTATTTCACAGCCTGCATGCGTCCTTGAAAGCCATCCTGACACTAGCTAGTTAGCGCCAGCAAGAGCATCACTAATCTATCACAAGGGTGGCATTATCCTTAGTCTTACAGGAGAGCTGAGGGCTGTTTAAAGTCTCAGCCCCTTTCAGAGACCAGCTGACACTGCCATTGTGACTAAAGGTCCTGTATAGCCATACATTGCAGCACTTGCCCTAGCAAGTAGTCTTCCCTTAGTATGGGTATTATCTGATAAAGGTATGGCTGTACTCTAACGAGGTCTGACACTCTTAAGCTGGCCATACACCAGCAAAATGTAATTCCCCAAAAAAATTTTGGAAACATTAATTCGATTTTATAATTGTTATTAGGATCAAACTGACAATCGTTTCAATTGTACCATTGGTAAAAAAACAAACAAAAAGAAAAAATAATAGATAGATATCTATCTATATATAGATATATATCAAAAAGGAGTAGAATTTAAATGTTTTCTCAAATGAACAAAATTCTACCGGTGAATGTGATTTTTTTTTTTTATTTAAGAAACTTCATTCATTCCAAAATCAAATTTGAACATTTTGAAAAAAAAAATGTAAAACTAAATTTGAATGACATTCGTCAAGTCTGTGACAGCATTATTGTAGGTTCTGACCGATGCATGCCCAGCCATACCAACACAGCATGTCAGGAGAATTCCTCACAAACAAATGCAGCAGTTAGGCTTCACCTACCAGCCTCAGGCATTCCCTGTGCCTTGTGCATTCTGGCATTGAGAACTTCTTTGGCAGAGACAAAAAATATGCGGTTCCGTGCTTCTAAATTATCCACAACTTTGAGCTCATCCACCAGGAAAGACTGACACCGCTCAGTATGTTGTTTCCGTACCTGTGCATACAAATGTAATAGAGTCTCATAATTATTCCAAATAGTACATAAAGACAACAAGCAAGAAGTACTAGCTGATTCATTTAAAGGAGCACTGAATTTGCATTTGTCATCATGAAGCTACTGAAATGAAATGGATCATATAATACATATCTGAAATAGGGAAGGTACATGTTTCACCTGTAAAGTACGGGCATGCTCTCAATTTCAAGGATCATAAGCAAGGGTGTACTTACATCTTCCATGTACTCCGGTTCTGATGCAGATGCATCCCACCGATTATTTAAAATAAAAATATTGGGTTTTGAAAGTCTTTCATTTACTTTATGGAAAAAGTGTTTTTCCTGAAATGTTGGAGAAAAAAAAAACAAAACATTAACTGACTGTCGAGCTTGTATTTGTATTCAATACCATTTACTAATTTATATTGTATTAACCACTTCAAGACCAGGTGTTTAGACCCCCTTCCTGGCCAGGCCATTTTTCAGTATTCACCGCTGCGGTACTTTGACTGACGTTTATTCCGTCATACAACGCTGTACTAAAATTAATTTTATACCATTTTTTGGGGACAGATAGAGCTTTCTTTTGGCGGTATTTAATCACCACTGGGGTTTTATTTTTTACTATAATTAAGAAAAATTACTGAAAATTTTGAAAAAAAAAAAAAGTTTTTTTTTACATTATGTTAGGAAACATTTATTATTACCCAGTTTTTTGGTAAAATATAAAAGGTCGGGGTCACGTCGGTTAAATAGACACCAAACATGTCAAGCTTTAAAATTGTGCGCACCTGCGACATTGCAGAAAACTACCATACCCAAAATTGGCCATAGGCGACGCTTTAAAAGCTTTTACCGCTCATCAGTTTAGTGTTATCAGTGATTGATGGCCTAGACTTATTGCTCTCACTCAGACGTTCGCGGCGATATATGAAACATGTGCGGCGTAATGTCACCGGGCACAGCGGAGCCCGGGATCAGCGGGAAAATGGCGGGGGGGGGGGGGCAGCACCGATCGTTGCAAAATACAAGCGATCCGCCGGCTCTACAGCCGGCGGATCACTTGTATGTTAACAGGCACCGCTGTCTGTTTTTAAATTGCGGGGATTTCCCGCGCGGGCGCGTGTCTGAGCGGACGTCTACGGACGCCGGCTCAGATCTAGAGAGCTCCGGCCGGCCGTTTTTTTACTACGGCCGGCCCGGAGGTGGTTAAACGTACAGCACACTAAGCACTCCCCTCTAAGGGCCTGTTCACACGACGTCTGTTTTCTGTGCTGACCTGATTTGTACGCTCTTGCACTAAAAATGCATCCCAATGCATCCCTATGTGTTTTATGGGCTACAGTTCTCACATGCGCAGTCCGTTCAGGTTACAACAGAAAAAATACTGCATGTCACATTTTGTCCGGTCAGGAAACGGACCGGAAACGCAAAACGCGTCAAAAACGCACTGCATCAGTAGCACCGCGTCTGCAGTTCCGCACCTGATCCGGACCTGAAAATCATGTGAACAGGCCCTGAAAGAGCTGACAATCTAACACAAAAATTATCACCTGTGTAATAAGCGGTTTACCAGGAATTTGTTGAAATACAATAGCACACTACTACTACTACTACTACTACTACTACTACTACTACTATAGAAATTACCGTGTTCATAAGTGTGGATTCGGAGTTGGCCACCAAGACAAAAACATCAGCATCCAGGCAGAATTTATCAATCCAACTGTCCAGTTCAGTGGTCACATCTGTTCCTGGACTGCACAAGAACACAAAAGCATGTTAAATGACAACGCATAGATATAGCATAAAAACATTTTTTTCTAAAAAGATTAAAAAGCAGAAGTTTGAAGTCATGAAAAAAATAAACGCACACTCCCCTCCCTGCTTCCTAATACTGCGGATGTCCCACGCCGGCTCACGTGACCGCTGATCTGACAGCTCTCGGCCTCCACTTCCAGCAGCCCTTTCACTCAGCTTTACTTGTCTTTAAAAGACCGCCCAGAAGACACTTCAATATCTGGCCATCATGAGAGTGACAATTAGCAGGCAGCTCATAGGGTTCCTAGAAGGGTTTTGGAACCGCATATAAACTGAATAAATAATCCCTTTTCAATTCAGATATAACGGTAGGGAAGGAGGTACAATTGACGCTATTACCCTGTTCAGAAATCACAAGACCCTGCACACTCCACATGATGCCGATACTTGAAGAAAAGCAATTCGTACCTATCTCAAGCTATTAGAATTAGTAGACACAAATTAAAGCTGGCCCTGTACTATAGGAATTTCAGATGGTTCTTGATGGGTGTCGGCAGCCTATCGACCGGCATCCCTCAATCAGCTCGAAGGAGCCGGTTAGAACATTTTCTAGCAAACAGAGCCAACAGCTGCTGTCAGAATACAAAAAAGATAGCGGGGGGATTCCTCGATCAACACTCCTAAGCATTGATGGAGGAATCTAATATTTACTTTGTTCAGTCTGCGGGTTATAGGAAATATTACAGTGTATGGGCACCTTAAGTTGTACACATCAGGACAATGACACCTCAGCCCATCCTGTCTATCAATGTCCTCAGGAAGAGCTGGAGATCAGGGCTTAGCACTCGACTTTCAACAAAGTCAACATTTACATAACAGTAACGGCACTGTTGAGTTTGCTTAAGCTGACCTTACACAGGTAGTTTTTTGTACAAATGCTAATATAAGAAATCTTGTCAGAACATTCCATAATGCTGTCAGAGACTTGTAGAATGTTGTTCAAATCTCAATTGATTTTAAAATTTGATTCCGGAATTAATGTATTTTCTTGAACAAAAAGTTAGACTAAAATCTTTCCATCCTGCTCCTTTGAGTCTCTTCATCACTACAGTCAAAATGGATTGTTGATGGGACCCCATTAACTATTACAAAAATCAAATAACTGTTCAATACATGGCAGCACTTCCCCCAACAAGCAGGCTTCCCTAAGCACGGCTATTATCTGATGAGGTATGGTTGTTCTCTCTGATGAGGTCTGACACCCTTAAAGGGGTTCTAAACCCTCCGGTTTTTTTGCCTATATCTACTGCTACTCCACAGGCTGATAGCTTCCGTGCCACGTCGCATTGAGGCAGTAATTGCTGCAAAAGGGGCACAAACCAAGCACTGAGTACATACAGGTGAAACTCGAAAAATTAGAATATCGTGCAAAAGTTCATTTATTTCACTAGTGCAACTTAGCCGTCTACCAGGAGATTTTGGAGCACTTCATGCTTTCTTCCGCAGACGAGCTCTATGGGGATGCTGACTTCATTTTCCAGCAGGACTTGGCACCTGCCCACACTGCCAAAAATGTTCTGAGATTGTGGATCTGGGTTTTCATAAGCTGTAAGCCATAATCATCACAATTATGACAAATCACGGCTTGAACTATCTTGCTTTGCATGTAATGAGTCTATCTCATATATTAGTTTCACCTTTTAAGTTGCATTAGTGAAATAAATGAACTTTTGCACGATATTCTAATTATTCAAGTTTCACCTGTACTTCATCCAGCCTGCTGCAGGCTGATACCATTATCTCAGCCTAGGCAAAGTCACTAGACTGGAGCTCAAGTATAGCTTTTTAATGATAAAAGGGAGAGCTTTGCTGATTTTAAAGTGTTGTATTTATTCATGCAGACTAGCAAAGTACACGTCAAAGTTCAGGGAAATGAATATTTTCACTTTCATTTCTGTAGATTCTTTTGTTACAGATACAATTAGTGACTTGGCAGTCTGCCAGTCTACTAATCTGGAATTTAAACAGAGCAGGTATACAAGAAGAGGGGAAGAGTGCCAAGACCAGACAGACTTTGCTGCTTCTATTGTAATCTGTGTGTATGAATCGACCTACACTGTCTAAAGCTAGAGAGGTCAGAAAATGCTTGCTTCAAAAAAAATGTACTGCTTGGTAAGAATATGTAAATACCTGTTAGTGCCCAATTAGTGCCTGCACAAATTCTTCTGCCACCATGTGCCCTAAATCCTAAGCATCCGGGATTCCTGCAGAAGGAATCTCAGGTGTGCCTTTCAGATGCAAGCATCGGTCCACATGTAATCACCTTGGGACAACCATCTATTCCAAACTGCATGTAATCATACTATGTACGATTACATGAGGACTGCCACTTACAGATGCAGCCCCTGTCATTTACCTTAATGTGTACAGCGGCCGCATCTGGACTAGGAACCTGAAATTCCTCCTGCAGGAATGCCAGACTGCCCCCTATGAACGGAGCCCAAGTGTCTAAACCTGTTACAGATGACTGGTGTTCAGTCTTTCATCTGTTTCTTCCCTTTGCTCTCATTATTCCCCTTTTGAAAGTCTATGCTAGCAGAAGCAGTGTAATATCATTTGTTATTGCCAACATAAATAACCCTCCCGCGTCTACGCGCCGCACCTCCTCCCCGCCTCAGCTATAGAGGACTACAAAACAACAACATACGGCAAGGCAATGACAGACTGTGATCATACTAGGAGTTTTAAATGTATTTTATTCTGCTATACTTGGAATGCACTAACATTGCTATTAACTAGCACAGATAACGGTTTTTCGGTATCGAGTACCGATTTTTACCCGCCACCCGGTTTCTTGATTGCCCGGGAAGCCGGCTTCATGCTGTTTGGCAGGCTCGATGCTGATTGGCCGGGAAGCCAGCTTCAGGGGCAAGTATTGAAGCATTTGGGTGAGTACAAGTACTAACCCAAATACTCTGAATCGGTGCATCCCTACTATTAACCAAAACAGCTCCATAAACGGCTCTTTACAACACATACCTGTCTACGAAAACCAGGTCATCTCTGAGAAGGGCACATTTTCCTTTTGGCCAGAAAACATGTACAAGACAGCCCACTTCCAAATCCCTATCCATATGAAGGGCATGAGCCAGCTGATTCACAGTCTGCATAAGAAAAAACACAAATTCTAAAAAACAATTTCACAGCAAGTTATCACAAAAAACATTTTTATTTTTGAAAAATATTGTTTTAGAAGTAGGTGCCCATAACTGTCACAACAACTAAATGTAATTACTACGTCATCTCCCATGAGTGAACAAGGTAACCCATATAGCACAGATGATATCATTCCTTTTTAGTTCCCAGGACTCGCACTACAAATGGCTACCGTGTTTCCCCGAAAATTAGACACACTGTCTTATAGGTCTTATTTTCGGGGTAGGTCTTATATTACAGAAATCCCTGAAGATAGTGCTAGGTCTTACTTTCGGGGAAACACGGTAACAGTCACATTTCCAATGTATACATTAGATCAGATCAGACGTAAAACTCAAGTCTGGTGTTGAAACCCTAACCTCAGTAATCAAGAACCAAAATGTTTCGGATGCTTGTATTTTACACTACGGTATTACCCTACCTTAGGGCAATCCAAAAAAATATATACAGCTTTGTTTAATAGACAGCTAAACAGAAGGTGGCAGAGCAATGGCTGCAAAAGCTTAGAAACTGAAATAAATAGATTGACTGTCTAGAAAACGCGTGCATTTAATATATGGCCAGGTCAATAACACAGGTAATGACAGTACATATAGAACCACACCAAATCAGATGTTACTCTGTCGGCTGTACATGGTAAACACACAAACAGCCATAGGGATACTTTTCATATTACTGGTGCCCTCTATACCAGTGGCACTTAACCCTGTGAGAATCTTCCAAGCCCTAACAGGGAAAAAAAAAAAAAAAGGTAGCAAGAGAACAGTCCAGATTCTCACTACTATTCTGGGGGAATTGATCAAAACTGGGACAGAATCTTGAGCATTCGCCCACGGCAACCAATCAGCTTTTCTTTTCAGTTTGTTCATATAAGCTTTGAAAATGAAAGATAGAAACTGACTAATTTCCATGGGCAACTGCTCCGCTATTGCTAAACTCCGCTCTCTGTCCTTAGCAGCTCACCAATCATTTGTTTTTACCGCGACTGATCTTAAAGGCGTCATGCACACACACCTCCAGACCAAAATTGTATATTGGATATAGACAAGTATAAACGCGTGCACTGTATGCAATCCCAGAATGCATCATTTTGAATCGAAAATGTAATGTGCTTACGCACACGTGCGTACACACACACACAGGCGCGTAAAATAGGCAGCAATTCTGAACCCGGCGCATCTTGGGTCCATTTTTTTGGCGCATCTTTACGCAGCGCAAATATACGGCCCCATACACAGCTAGGTGTATGGAGCCATTTATTTGCATATGCTGCGTATGTGAAAATGTGCGCATCTATACGCAGCGTATTGTACGGCAGTGTGAATGAGGCCTAAAGGGATATTAGAACTTTGTGAGCCTGATGTAAATTCTAAACCCTCTGACCTCTTACATTTCCATAACAAGCAAGTGCTAAACACATGGTTTATTAGTCAGCAAAGACAAATAGTAGCTGCAATATTAACAATAATAAAATGGGTCATGTTATTTTGTTTTTCATATGATATGATATGAAGGCTTTCTTCTTGAGTTCCTATGACACCAAACACGGCTTTCTTCCCGAGTACCACTATAGGATTCAGAAAGTACTTTATTGCACTGGTGTCACAAGGGAAAAATAGTCCGCCTACATGGGACAACCCTTTATCTACTGGTGTCAGAGGGGCCTGTTTTGTTGCCGTCAGTAGGAGTTCCAATGACACCGATGAAAGAGGAGGCTTATTATACAGTGTGCATTGCATCAGTAGAACTGAGAAATTAAGTTCCTTATACAAAAAAAAAAAAAAAAAAAAGCCCAATTTTGTGTCAGCACATTTTACCGGTAAATTGAATTATAACTTAGATAATCACATATCAACTATCACCAAAAACATCCACTCTATTTTATACCTTTCTGAGTCAATTCCCGCCCCCAGATCAGCACTATGAAATAAATTGCTTCCCTAGAAACTTGGCAACATGAAATGCACAGCAGGAACCCCCCCTACACTCCTTTATTCCAGTACTTCACCTACTTCAAACCAGCACATTGCATTACCCATTTATAAATGTGTATGTTGACATTTTAAAAGTCAACTATGGACAAATCTTTTTTGGTCGTATTTTCTTTGGGGGTCACATTTACGACATTTACTAATTTACTTCTGTGACCCAAAATTGTGGACTACTGCCGGCTATATGCTGACAGAGCAGAGCCACGCTGCAGCCGGGAAAGATGCTGATAATATTGCCGGGATCTGCCCCACTACCTGACAGCTGGCTATGCCTCTCTAGAGCCAGCTGTGCCCGCCCATTTCCGCTGTGTCCCTCCAGTCATTGCTGAAATGGAGAGGGGAGGGGGGAATGCCTGCAGGGAGTGGTGACTGGTGACTGAATGATAAGCAGTATGTGATCACTCAGCCCTTGATCAACAGAGCCGACGTGTGACAGCTACAGTGTTGCACGTCGGCTCTAACTGTGGGGATGAGTGTATTTCACTCATCCCATAGTTCTCCTTTAAGTTGCAGCAAATCTCGGAAGTACTCCCTCTGCTTCTGTGCAGGCTGCTGCACAGAGAGAAGAGGCAGTGTTTCACCTACTCAGCACTGCAGATGCTCTCAAGCCACCGAGGCCTGATCTGTAGAAGCCCCCCATCTACCTACCAGGCATATAAACAATCAGTAAATGTAAAATGTTGAATTATGAAACAGATTTAGCTGTCAAGACATGGCGCCGCCTACCTACTAGTGCCATCTCCAACACCACACTGCTGAGCAGTAGGACGTGAACAGGAATGAACATGCTTGAGCAGTACAGAGGTGCATTGTACATTTGTAATGGAAATCTGTCCTGAGAGATAAGTATGCCGTCACTGATGACCACCTTCTAAATACTATTGGCCAGGATGTCTCTGGATTCAGTACTTTGATTTATGTCTTGAGATCACGTATGCAACAGGTTAAAGTAAATCTAAATCCCAAAAAATTTATTTAGTTGATTTTGGATTTTAGTAGGGAAGGGTTTAAAACCCCTCTGGATTCTGTTTGCCATCTGTTCCGCTGGGGAGATTTCCATTCACTGCTACTAAAGACTAAACAGTGAAGGAAATCCCAAATTAGACAGTTGCCACTTGAATAAGCATCTCCACTGGTAGAGTTCCTCTCTGTTCCCATTTAGGTGACAACTCAAATTTTTTTATTATACCTCACTTTTGATTCCAGTCACCATGACAAATAGTCAGAGAACCTCACCAGTGGGGGCACAGACAACCATAAACACCTTACAGGTTCTAAACTCTTCCATACTCAAACAAAAACTAAATAAGTATCTTTGACTTTAAAACCCTCTTAAAAGCTGGTCTTCGGCTCCCCTAGAGCCTCCAACTCCCTCTAACTGAGCGCTAGCATTACAAAAAAAATACCTAAAGTATCCTTTATTCTCACCTAAAGCTATGCTCACATGATGCTTCAGGCATGCATCTTCGCTGTTCTTCAGTTTACAGAGACGGGGTCCTTCTTCAGGTATCCTACTGGCTTCCTACTGGCTATACAGGGGCAGAGTCCAAAAAAAAAAGAGTCTGCAATGGTGGCATCAGCATCAGTCTGCCTTGTAGTGCTAGGGGTCCCTGGTTCCAATCGGAGCCAGGTCACTATCTACAAGGAGTTTGCATGTTCTCCCTGTGCTTGCGTGGTTTCCTCCCACACTCCAAAGACATGCTGGAAGGTTAATGGTCTCCTGTCTAAATTGGCCCACGTTTGCATGCATGTGAGACAGGGACCTTAGGTGGTTAGCTACTTGAGGGCAGGGACCGATTTAAATGTGCGCTATGTAAAGTGCTGCGTCAATTGTCACCGCTATATAAATACCTGTAATAAATTTGCAGTCCCCTGCAGTCTTTCTTCACAAGGGAAGAAATAACATAATCAGAGAATATCTTTAGTAAAATTGAATGTCATAATACCCAGAGATTAGGGCAGCTGAAGTTTCAAGCAAATCCCTACTTTCCTGTACATGTTCAGCTTGACCCTGCACTTAACCACTTCCCAGCCTCCTTAGAAGTTTATGATTTACAATCAATTACCAACAAAGTGTCTCAGAAAGCAGCAGGGGACAAGCTTGACTTGATTTGTATACACTTTTGACTACAAGTCACCTCTGCTTATACATTCATTATATGCTCAGTTTGATTTGCCCAGGTAACAGAAAAGAAATACCTTAACACTTTTCTTTTCCTCAGAGCCTTCGGTCATCAAATACGCCTTATCTCCTTCTGTTCCCTCCACACTCAGGAAGCAGTTAGTTGTGTGTCCAATACCACTGGGCAACACCCTGTCCCACAACATGGAGTTTATCACTGTACTTTTTCCACTGCTTGTCCTAAAACAAATATATAAAGAAAAAAAGATATTTGTTAATTGCAAGGGGTCCTCTTCCATGTTCTGCAAACAAGATCAACATTAATAATATTACCCTTAGGTTGCAATTCTGCATACTTTAACAGGACAACCAACCATTATGGAGAAAGCATCAAACAGGAATACACAGTGGAAGAAATTCTAGTCACTGGTTACCATGGTGACTAAGTTACACCAAATACTGCCAAAGTGGTCCTCAGCCAAGAATCAGCAATGCTGCGTTCCCTGCAATCACATAGTGGAATTACTGGAGTACGAGCAATGGTACCCCTACTACCACCAGATTATCACTATGGTTCCTTTTGAAGATAACACAACTGTGCTTATGAAAGATCCATGTCAAGCTTCCCCATGTCCTGATAATTAATAAAAGCATGAACCATAAAGCTACTACTTACCTGCCAAAGAACGCCACCTTCATGTGCCTGCGTGACAAAACTTCCCCAATGCCAGCCAGTTTTATCTTGAAACTCTGAATCTCCCCGAGGTCATCTTCGCTGGTTATGGTTTTTAACTCTAGATTCCGGGAGGTTTCTATGGGAACATAAAGAAATTGGGAACATAAAGAAATAAGTTTTTTTTTTCAGACCCCCAAACCTCTTTATTTCCACCTGTGATGCTGCCAGTAAAACACTTCCTATCCACTCACCGCACTGTAACCACTGGCTGTCACTCTAAGCAGCTCTCCTGACCTGAACTACAAACACCACCTCCTCACCTCATTTTCATTACATAGGGGGGAGCGGTGTCGCAGTTCACAGAATGTGTGTGGGAAGATACCATTGGCTACATTAATTTCCTTTTTTACCAGACTAAGGAATGGCAAGTTGCAATATATTACATGTGGTGTTTGAGTTTAGACATACTTTAAATTAAGAAGAAAAAAAAATGGATGGGCTTATGGGTTAGATCGGAGAGAGAAAAAAAATAGCTGCCATCCATTCAGATGAGGGTACAGACAGACCACATACTATGCAGATACCTTGATGGTTGTTTGTCACAGTGATCATGACTGGCTATTCTGGGAAAGGTTTTTGAATACACGTTAATGTGCTTCGAAAGCTAAACATGCTATAGGTATGCCCAGACCTATGTCTGACATGCTCTGCGGAATGCACAGTTAAAGGAGAACTATGAGATGAGTGATTGCGGCGTCTCAGTATACCGCGAGCTGTAGCTCGCGGTATACTGAGCTTAGGGTAACGGGAGGACGCTAGTTTGTGTCCTCCCGTTACCCTAAGGAGAACTATGGGGAAAAACACTGACCCCATAGTTCTCCTTTAATGATGTTACCACTGACAGGAACAGGTCACATTTTACAAACTAGCTAGACACAGCAGCTGCATCTGCCTCTAGAGATATGTGGCCTCTTCTCAGCTTTGCCCCATCTTATTCTAAAACCACAGCCTTGAAAAGCATCCATGACTATGAACCCTAAAAGGTGTTTAAAGGAGAACTATGAGGCGAGTGCTTTTCACTCAACCTCATAGTTCTAGCCGACCTGTGGCAACGAGACTATCACAGGTCGGCTCAGTAGATCGGGAACTGAGCGAACACACCAGCGTTCGCTCACTTCTCGATCCTGTCACGGCTCTCTGCCGTGACAGGGGAGGGGCTGGATTCCCCCCTCCCATCCGCCAGCGCTGACTGGCGTAACGGACGGGGCGGGTACAGCTGGCTCTGCCTCTAGATAGGCAGAGCCAGATGTCACTAAAGCAGCTTGGCGGATCCAGACATAATTGTCGGGACCCGTTTCAGCTGCGGCGTCTCAGTATACCGCAAGCTGTAGCTCGCGGTATACTCAGCTTAGGATGACGGGAGGACGCTAGTTTGTGTCCTCCCGTTACCCTTAGGAGAACTATGGGGAAAAGCCCTAACCCCATAGTTCTCCTTTAAGAATAATTATCAATATTCAAATGTCAAGAGGTTGTTAGAGGTTTAGAGCCAAGCCAATACATTAGACAAGCAGAGATTTATTGTCACCATTACCAGGCTGTCTACGGCTGTAATCCATTTGGTTATAGAAGTAAATTCCAATTTTCCCAAAAAAAAAAAAAAATTCCATAGCAAACAGCAACATCATTTCACGGATGGACTTATTGCACAGGGGGCAACCTATCACGGTACCACGCTGGAATTCACTGAGCTCCTGAGAGCGACCCTTTCTTTCACAAATGTTTGTAGAAGCAGTCTGCATGCCTAGGTGCTTGGTTTTATACACCTGTGGCCATGGAGGTGATTGGAACACCTGAATCCAATGATTTGGAGGGGTGTCCCAATACTTTTGGCAATATGGTGTACATCATCCCTTTCTTTGTCTCCCATGCCTTCTTAATCAACCCAATGTCTCCTACCCTCAATTACTCATGTTTACATACATTTCTGCTTTCATTTGGAGCCCAGACCAAAACACCCTTACAATTGTTAAGGCAATATTGTTTGAAATTGTTAATGTGCACCTGCACTATCACATTTATGCAATGCATCCAATAGTGTTATATTCCTTATCATATGTCATGGTCTAGGAAAGAGTGGTAAAGGTGTTCTAAGAGTATTACACTGTATACCAGAGTGTATTAGGTGAGGAAGATTGTGCTTGAATACTGTATCACATCATAGTCTAGGAGAGAGTGGGGAAAGGGCTGCAGCATCATTTTACATCATAGTGTAGAAGAATGGGGAAGGCTCTGCGACAGTGATATATATCTTGGTCTAGGAGAGAGTGGGGAAAGGGCTGCAACATCATTTTACATCATAGTGTAGAAGAATGGGGAAGGCTCTGCGACAGTGATATACATCATGGTCTAGGAGAGTTTGGGAAAAGTTCCGCAACAGTATTTAATATCATGGTGTAGGAGAGTGGGGAAGGTTCTGCACCAGTCATATATACATCATGGCCTAAGAAGTAGCGGCAAATGTTCTGTAACAATGATATAAGTTATAGTCTAGGAGAGAGTAGAAGATGCTGCAACTGTGTTAGGGCTCATGGCCAAGGACAGAATTTGAAAGGTTTTGCAACAATGTTCTATATCATGGTCAAGGAAAGAGTGGGGAAAAATATTTGGCAGACCAGAGTTTAGACAAAGATGTATCAGGAGACGGAGTTTAGGCTCCGTAAATAAAAATGTTTAGCCTCACAAAAGTAATCCTGATATTTCAGGGTAAACTAACCATATTGCATGGGGGATACTGACAAATTCAAGGACTGATCGCCACAGAAAAAAATATTTTACAGGAATGCAAGGCCATCACCACTGCTGTTCTTTAAATACTGTATACTTATTTACATTCAAACCTGTCTTCTGCTTATCTTTGTCTGAAGAAAACATTTTAAATAGGTTACCTTCAAGTATGCCTGATATACTAAGATCTTCCAGGAAGAGAAAGAAAGGTGGTCAGGGGTGTGGAATTCCTATCGCCCGACGCTCGGGACAGGCAGAGCTAAATGTAGTATGGGAGCCGTTTTGTACATGTCATTTTAAACGGCTGTACAGCCGTCCAAAATCACTTGTAACTTGCCTGAATCACGCTCCCCCTCCCCTCTCTCAAGTAGATCGCCCCCCCCCTTTACTCCTTGGACAAGTAGTTTTTTTCAAAATGTCCACACCCCTGGTGGTTCAGGCTGGAAATGTTAGTTGTTCGCTTACGTTTTCTCATTGTTGCGACAGTGATAAACCAGCACTTAACTAGAGCACATGCATCCTCCATTTGTGGTGGCATGGAAGGCAAATTATATGCTTACTGGCCAGTTGTATTCTTTTTTTTTTTAATGTATTTTTACATTTTTTAAATAATATAATTGTATTTCAAGATTACATTATTAAACAGAGGCACACATTAGCTAGACAAAGCTTTCATGCTCACAATGTTGTTATGGCCAGAGAGGGGGTCACTTTGACACAGCCGGCCAGCTTACACGTGTTGCCATATGTGTGAAGTAAGAATCCCTGTTTTTAATGCAGAGGGTAGTAACGGGTAGCCACAGGGTTCAGTGTTAAAATGTGTCTTATGTGGTAACATCACACTAGTACCATTTATAGATTTGGTTTGGAGCCTTCCTTGTAAAAATATAAGCACTCTTACCTTCTACAAAGTTAACTCCATCACTGATAAATCCCACCAGCTGGTCAAAAATAGATGTAATGGCCTTCTTTGCCTGCACAAAGTGCTTTAATGGAGATACGCTTGTTTCATCCATGTCTTTTCCTGTGCAGAAAACAACAAACTGATTGGCAATTAAGAACACAATATCAGAGTTTTTCCTTCACACAACAGAATTAAACACCAATATAAAAAAGTGGTTAAAGCCATACTAAGATGGTGAGAGCAAGAATTTACAGCAGCAAGGTATCAGTTGTTAAACAACCAAACTCATTTTGGTTAAGTATGACTGTAGAGCATTTAAATTACATATTGAATATCCTACAAATAAAAGGCTTTGGCCAATACAAATTACTGTTGTCCACACAAGAATTAATTGGTCAAGTCAGTTGGGGTGGAGTTGGCAATAGGATTAATGATGTGATGGGTTAGTGCTAAAAATGACTCTATACTATCCTTCCTCAACCAGGGTTCCTCCAGAGGTTGCTAGGGGTTCCTTGAGCAATGAACTACCTCTTAGATTGGTGTCAGTGGTAACCTATGATCTTTTTAGCTATCTGCAAAGGGAGCATTCTCATTTTCCACTGACCACCAAAGTAAGGAGACTTCTTCCTAATGACCACCAGTGTAACAGGTCCCTGGCTCCACTGGCCTCTAGGGCTGCAACTAATGATTATTTTCATAATCGATTAGATGGCCGATTATTTTTTTTTTGATTAATCGGATATAAATGGGAAAAAAATACCATCCTTAAATTTAAAATAAAATACACCAATGCAGTTACAAAGTTTACTTCAGAATGAACTGCATGCACAGTTTATTGCCATTGGACTGCACTGGAACGCACGGCATTGTGGTACCGTGTGTTTCAGTGCGGGCGATCACACTGTGGGTGGGGGTTGCGTTGGGGTGCCATTGGAATGAATGGCACTGCAACGCAACTCCCGCACCAGAATTTGTCAGGCCGAAACCAAAAATGACTTTTTTCCCAGCTTTTATTTTAAAAAATTGAATTGTATCGTACTGCTACTAGCCATTTCAAATTGCAATAACCAATAGCTGACTGGCTATTGCACCCACCCACTGCTTGCCGTGCCCTTCTCCCAACGTGGTGGAGAAAGCTAGGGGATCCAACAAACTAACTGATAATGACAATAGTTGACAACTATTGTCATTATCGGTTAATCGATTTGTTGGGGTCAGCCCTACTGGCCTCCGAGCTGAGGGGGCCATTTTCCACCTACCACCGATTTAATTGAGCACTTCACTGAAAGCCCGTGTAAGGATGCACTACACAGATCACAAATGTAAGCGGGCTCTACAATAACCACCAATATGGGGAGATTTTTCTACTGGCCCCCAATGTGAGGGAGTTCTACAATTTTCACATTCTCCATTACTGAAAATAGTTTTGCTGTATGAAGCAGCCTTGGGTGTCAAATACACCAAACAGGCCACATTCATTATTCTTTGATATCCAGAACTTACTATTCACACTAATGTCCCATGAGCTATAGATATAATAATAGCAGGGGTTATTTAAGGTTCCTCCATATTAAAAAAAAAAGCTTTGGAAAGGTTGCTTTACACTAACAGGCCATCATGGTGTTAATCCCAGTGTTCCATTGTGAATGGAATGTCTGACCTTGCTCCAGCTATGCCTCATCTACGATTTCACTGAAACACAGTCATGAACTGCACGCAAAAGGTCCCAATTCTGCATGAACCAACAGTAATATGGACCTGATGAACAGAGCAGCCTCCAGATTTGTTCCAACTACTGTACATGCAATCACATTCAGGAACACCAACAGCACAAGATTTGTAATGAGTATGCAATACCCAATGAAAATACAACAAGCTATTAACCTGAGGTCAGAGTAATATGTATTTTGGTAACATACAACACGTGTGTAGTAACTCGCTATACTAGTTGGCACAAACAACAAGTCCTTGGGAAGGACGAGTGGTGTCACTCCCTGGTAGAATGCCACACATCTGTGACTGAGATTACACAGTAACTGGATAAGAGGCACGCTTCGGAGAACTGGTAAACAGAAACCAACATAGTAGTTTACTTTGCTACACAGATACACAGACACGTACAGTAGAATTGCATTGTAAAACAGAAAAGCAGCAGCACAAAGGCTATAAAGTGAAGGCTTACTTGCAAAATCAAATATTCAATGCCAACAAGTACATTTTAGCTGCAAAACTTACCTACTAATTACACTATAAAATGTATGCATATCATGGCTGGGACGCTCGATAAAACAAAGAGACAGTTAGATTTCTTCGGCAAGGTCTGTCCATCTTCAAATAAAGATTGCAGAAGTCCACCATGCGAACACATACTTTGCTGCATGCGCTGTTCCAGTGGCTTACCATTCTCCTATGGATTGCTGATCTATCCAAGTCATGTCCAGTATACTAGTATACTTATAAAGGGTGGACACTTTCTTCCTCCACACTTCTTAGTAAAGAAAAATATTCTAATGCATGGGTGCCCATTAGGTAGATGGGGGATCTACCAGTAGCTCACAAAGCTGATGCTGGTAGACCACGATTGTAACGAGGAATAACAGCCAGGAGGTAGAGAGCGAGGAGAGAGAGCCAGGAGAGGCAGCCAGGAGAGGCAGCCAGGAGAGGCAGCCAGGAGAGTGAGGAAAGGTATTTTGTTTCCAGCACGATAATACATTTGGACATCCATAGCAACATTTGGGTTGCCTATGGCATTAAAGAGGTCCCTTGTCTGCATATGTGTGAGTGACTACGGTGGAGGATTTTAGGTTGTAAGCTTATTCAGGGCTAGGACTGATCTCATTAGATCAGGGGTGCCCACACTTTTTGTGTTAAGATCTACTTTTCAAATGACGAGCTACATGAGATCTACTAACAAAAAAACAATCTCTCTCTTTTTTATTTACAGCAGAACTCTGGGGGAACATTAATATTAAGCCTTGCAGTGGGGCTACCCCCACACTGCAAGGTGTACCTGCTTGTTTTGGTCTAGGGAGGAAAATAACAAAGTTATACTCATTTGATCCTTGGAGATGGCAAAATGTCAGTGTTCCCTCCAGCTCATCTCTTCCTATGTCCTATTGATGGAATGTCCCTCACACTGTGTATTGGATGTGACCATTTACTGGAACTTAGGTGGAGGGGGAGAGAGGCTCCAGGAACCGGTCTAAGAGCCATCCGGCTCAGAGGATCAGGCAACTAGGACCTTTTTTATTATTCTCCCCACCTAGACACAAACAAGCACTTGCAGTGCGGGGGTAGCCCCACTGCAAGTGTTAATGATCATTTTCCTTCTTTAATAAATATAAAAAAGGAAAAACCAGCTATAATGGTTCTTCACACATGCAAATAACAATAAAGTCTGTGATGGTGTATGACAGAAAATAGAGAGCTGTAGAGCAATTTAATGATGATGTTGTGAACACTAAATGACAATGAAAAATGCACTTGCAAGTTGTTTGACACACCTGAGGTGCTTGAATAACCTAGAACAATTGACATAGGTATTTGAAAGCTATTAAAGTTTATATTTATAGTTTTATTGGGCTCAACTGGCTCCTGATAGTTTATTTAGAATCAATAAGAGCGGGACTCAGCCCCCTTTAATAGTGTATACAGACTACTTCATGCAGATGTGCCCCCTACCTGCATCAATAAAGGGGCCCAAATATCAGCTTCTAGCACCATTAAGCCCCTTATAACTATACTGAGAATTATTCTCTAAGGCTGGACTCACACTTGCCGCTGCTGGATCTCATTGACTCTGAAGAGGAACGCACTGCTGCACAGATTACTGTCAGGGATCTGAACAGCGGTGTGTTCGTCTTCGGCCGCCAGTGAAAGTCACCAGCAGCGGATCCCATAGCGACCCAGGCGGCCCACGCGGCATCTGGCCGGTCCCCATAGCGGCCGCCTGGGTCGCTATGGTGATTGTTACGCCACAGCTGCTGAGACAACGCTGCCTGTCACTCTTAAGGCCCCATTCACACTGAGCGACATGAAAATCGCGAGATTTTGAGCGATATTGTGCTACTTTTTCCTATTGGGCTGTATGCAATCAGGAGCAATATCGCTCGAAATCGCTCGAAAAAAGGGTCATGTAGGAGCGACAAGCTACCAGCGACGAGCTACAAGCGATATTGAGAGGCGAGATGTGAACAGCTCCATTGAAATGGATTGGAGAAGCTACATAGAGCGATACCGCGTGAAAATATGAGCGATATCGCTGCAAAAATCGCTCGATAAATCGCTCAGTGTGAATGGGGCCTAAGGCTGTGACACACTGCAGGCGTAGCGATGCAAAGCGAAACAATTGCAACCTTCCCCTTCGCACCGCAGCTTGTCTACACTGTAGTTTGTACTGTATTTTTTCATGGTTACCTCTACAGATTCTGCTTGTCATGGATACCTCTACAAAGTGGTCCAACCAGGTCGATTTTGGGACAGTGGTGGATAGCCAGGGCCCAGTCGCAGCTGCAAACGCTACCATCCTGGTAGTTTTGCCACTGGCGCCAGGCTGTAGAGGGACTACAAGTTTCAGCAACACATTATATAGCAATGCAGAACAATATTAAGCTAAAGCCTCTCCAGGGCTGCGTGCGGGTCTCCCCATGGCTGTGCGGGCAGCAGATGTCACCAGTACTGTGTGGGGGCGGCAGGAAGGAGGAGGTATACATGTGGGGCCTGACCAGTGCTGTGTACTAGCGCCGGGAAGGTCCCCACAAGGCTACCGTGAGGTCTCCAATAAGTGCGAGACCTTACGGCAGCCGAAATATTGAAAACATTTAAAGTGCCATTATTAGCTTTATTGGGGCATTTTTTGGAGTAGAGTACTCATGAAAATGCCCAGTATTGGCAACGATACCAATACTGGTATCGATATTAGTACATTCCTAGTCAGTGCTGTTTTGAAACAGGGGGATATACTTCATATATGGAGGGAGGTCAACATGTTATGGCTGATTGGTGTATATGTCATTTAATTAATGTTTAATTATTTAAATAAATATTCTTTAATTATGAAACTTCAATTATTTAAAATTCTTATTTCAATCATATTTAATTAAATATTGTGTTATGTCATTATTAATTTAATTATTAAAATACATATTATTTATTTCATTATTACATATTAAGTATATCATATAATTCATTATATAATTAAATGTTGAAAAATGTATTTATTTCATTAAAAAGTGCCATAGATGAGAGCTGGATAGGATAGAACTGGGCTGGAAGATAACATAACACACAAACGTCTCTGCTGGACTCACCAGACGCTTTTGTCTGAGTGAATCTGATTGGCTGGTCGCGTGACGACGCTTTGTGATGCATTCATTGAGTCGCTAAACAGGGGAACGGGCTTTGCTAGACACGTGGCTCGAGAAGGGCTTACGAGTCGCCGCTTGCCTGTGCTCCACGCTGCTTCGCGTGCAGTGTGTCACAGGCTTTAGGCTGCGTACACACATAGCTTTTGCGGTTCCCACACGGTTTTCCGCATGGGAGATCGTGTGGGACGAAAACTGTAATTTTTTTTTAAATCAACACGGATACCGCTCGTTTGTGGCTATTAAATAGCCGCAAATGTGCAGAATCCGCCGGATTATCATTCTTGCACTATTTGGGGGGCTGCGCGGCACGAAAACCGCCATGGTGTGAACGATGCACATTGAAGTGCATTGTTTTTTGTGTTTAGAGCCTTCGTTTTCCAAGATTTGGAGTAAGATGTCACTAGGGACAAGCAGTGTTGTAGCCTCATAGCTGGATATCTACAGTGTGAGCTTATCTAAGGCACTGCTGCTTCGGACTGCTAGTAGTGCTGTTATTACTGTGCTGCTCACTGGAGAGAAAGCTGTACCTGAGGATCTGCATTGCAAGCACCTCATGTGTGGATGTGTTTCCTGTAGCTTCATTATTACATCACCAGTCTTTAGGGGACGGCTCCGATATGAATAAGCAAAGTTCGGCCTCTATCAAGGTTGTCACCTCCATAAAGAGACACAGTGTTGAACAAGGTAAGGTACAGGAGTAAGGAAAACGTCGGCTGAAGGGAACCTACAAGCAATACTGGTGATTGATCCTTTTAGGGCAGAGCTTCCACAGTGCAGATGCCCTCTAACTTACTAGTCAATGTAACACAGCTGTATGCACATTGAATGGACGGTCTTCAGATATTGTATAAAAGAGACTGTGCCCTGTACACAGCTCAAACCTGGCCACCAAATGACCACCTGTGGCCTACTGGGCTCTTCACTGTTGCCCAACTGAGATTGTCCTCTAAGGGCATAAACGAATATCGACAAACCAACCAGCTTCATTATGTACCATTTTGGCAAAGTTGTGAGGCTACCCATGGAATTATATCATCATAGCTTTCATATAGAGGGTCTGGTTTCTAAGTGCATCATAGATCAGCACCCCTTGGGAGCATTCTGAGACCAGGAACCAGTGACCTCATCCACACATCCCCACATTACATGAGTGGGCGTCCTGGGCATGTTTTACTCTAGTGTGCTTGGCTCAGTACACACACACACACATACGTCATTTGTTCACACACACACGTGTCAATTTATTCACAGTACCTGTGAATGGACGACTACAAGTCTCATCTGCCACCACAGCAGAGAGATTCGTAAATCTAAGTGGAGCACAAGGGTGGTGACGTCACCGCGCTTGTAGTCTATTGACTACTTCCTCTAGCTAAAGTGACACTAAACTCAGGAGTTAAATCTTAAAAATGCATTCAAGTACCTGAACTATTAACAAAAATGTATCTGATTTGTGTATCGCTCAGCTGTAGATCCTCAAATCATCTCTGAATTGGTGCTGACACTGTCCTTCCTTCTGGAGGGTGGCTACTTTTACTCCCCATAGTCCCTGTGTGTGTTGTACAGTAGACACCAATCCAAGCTCACTCCTGTAATGGACTACAAGCTCAATACTAATTAGTAAACTAAATGTGAGACTGTAGTCCATCACAGGAGTGAGCTTGGAGCGGTGGTTACTTTACAACACACTCAGGGACCATGGGGAACAAAAATAGCCACCCTCCAGAAGGAAATTGGCCCAGGTGGAGATTACTCCATCCACACAGGTAAGTGTAGATGGAGGAATCTGTTGCACCTTTTCCATCTGACCACAGAAAATCTGCAGATAATTGTAAGGTGTATGGCCAGCTTAACAGAAGGTGTGGTACCACCATCCGGACCTGGGGTTGGGGAGAACAGTCTGCAGAAGCCTTTGCATTACACCAGTGATCCGCTGATTGCAGTTGCAATGTTCTGCAGCTTCAGTGAAAAAGTGTCATAAATGCACATTTCTTATTTTTATAATGTGGGCGCATTTATTACATTTTTCCAAAAGGTGGACAATGACAGTAAGCATTTTTAAAAGAAAAGACAAAAAATTACATAATATTCTCCTGACTGCTGATGAGACATAACAGAGTCCTCATCCAGACCTATCACACCCAGTGCACTATCAGACTTTCATGTTCTCTGAAGTTACCAGAAATGCTGGGAACACCTCTAGCTGCAGCCTCTTCCATTACTTATGACATTGCCAGGGCTCTCCTCAGTGCACAATTCTTTTCTCATATCCATTTCATACCCAGACAGGCAAATAATGTATATGATATACATAGGAGAGGCAGACACTGTCTTCCGGTGCTCTGCAGGTGTGTATATACTGTGGACGGTATACAGAGGAGGGGGTGTAGGCTCTCCTCTGGTGATATACAGAGAGGGAGTTATACACTCTCCTCCGGTTCAAGCAGTACGGACACGACTCATCATTACCTTCCTCAGTTGGCCCGGCCCGCGGTCACAAGCCGAACTCTCACTAAGCCGGCGTGTTGACCCCTGATAACCTGATCAAAGCACAGCCAATCAGAACAGAGGTGTGTATTACGTCACCTCCGAAGATCACCGGTGGTTACAAGAGGCAGCAATGTCAACCCATTTCCGTCCCCACCGCCATCTTGGTTACTTTATTTCCGGAGCCGTTCTGCGTGGAAATGGATGACTCTAGATTGACAGATTCTTTATCCCGTCAGTGTGAAATATCAGCTCTGAGAATCATTTAGTATTGTGTAGTATCATAGACTGGTAAACACGCCAGGAAATGTCAGCCTGCTTTTTGTATAAGATATGCTGCCTCCTTCACATCATATGGAGGAGTCTCTGACAATTAGCCCCCGCCCCTTTCCAAGCTGGTACATCTCTGATAGCTTGCCAAGGAAAAGAGAATCAGATGTACATATAGGAGTTGAATTACTACAGCAGTAGAGTATGCTCACTTTCACTTAGCGTAGTGAAGGTGGTGAAAATTGACTTTGCAAAGAATACCCAATCATTTGCAAAGAAAAAAAAAACTGCATTTTTGCTTGCACATGATTGGATGATGGAAGTCAGCAGAGCTTCACCTCATTCACTAAGCCAGTGGTAGGCAACCTTTTGAGCCTAGTGCGCTGAAAAATTGAAAGTGAAACCCACGAGGATGAGTGTCAGTGCAGCCAAACACCCACAAGATTGGTGTCAGTGCAGCCATACCCCCAGGATTGGTGTCAGTGCAGTCAAGTATTCCCAGGATTGGTGCCACTGCAGCCACATAACCCCAAGCATTGGTGTCAGCACAGCTAAATACTCCCAGAATTGGTGTCAGTTCGAGAAAAAAAACTTGTCAGCCCATAACAGGACTCAGGACCCGAATGCATGTATTGCATTGCTTTATTATTTTGCCATCACATACACTTTAAAGATCCAGCCAGCAAGTGAATAATGGTATTTCTATAAAATATGGAGTGGTTAAAATCCCCGGCTAGATCACTTAGAGATATTTTACTTCCTGTTCTAGAAACACAACAGGAAGTGAGAGGAAGGTTCTCCAAAGTAATACACTTTAAAGTGGGGATGCACCAATACCGATACCAGTATCCGTGCCAATACCAGGCATTTTCACGAGTTTTTGTGAAAATACCCAGATACTAAGCGCTGATACCGGCACTTAAAATGCATTCAGCTGCCGGAAGGTCCCACACTTGCTGGGGACCTCACAGCACTTCAACCTTACGTACCCTGACAGCGTCAGCACCCCCACTGACTGCCACATCCCTCCTCACCGCCACAGCCCTTCTGAGACTCACACCCGCCTGCCATACCCTCCTGACCCTTCTTTGAGAGCACTGACACTGTGTGCGGAGCTTTCCCTGCAGGTAAGTTTGTCCCTCTGTGTCCTTTCCCACCCCCGACCCTGATGGACACACTGGTGACAGGGGCACCATCCATTGTGCAGCAGTGTGTGGCTGCTGTCAACACGAGTTGTCATTATTATTGTTTACTTCTCTGACTGCATTGTAAGCCGGAGCTGGACAAAATCTGCTTCTTACAGTCCCGGGGGACCACTGCTGGGACTTGTACTTCCACAGCTTCTTAGGGGTCAGGTGCTGTGGCGTCACAAGGGGGGTGCGGCCCGCACTGGATGACACCATCAGAGTGGGTGATACCCAAATGACTGACAGTCATTTGGGTGTCACCCATTCTGTAAAGTCAGCCACTCGGTTTGCACCCCTCCTGAGACCCTTTGCACCCTTCCTGAGACCCTCTGTAGCCCTCTTAAGACTCTCCCAACCACTTCTGACGCCCTCTACCTGAGACATCAGGCTGGCACCCCGGAGCAGAGCAGCAGAACAGAGTATGTAGCACTATATTATTATGAATTACTGTATAATATATTGCTGAGATTTGAAGTCCTCTATAGCGGATAGTATTATTCTGAATTGCTGTATAATGTAAAGCTGGGATTTGTAGTCCCCTATAGCTGATGGTAATCTGCATTGCTACATAATGTATTGCTGGGATTTGTACTCCTCTATAGCTTGGAGTCAGTGGCAGAACTATCAGGGGTGCAGTGGTTGCAGCTGTGACCGGGCACTGGAACTTCACCACTGTCCTAAAGTCATTCTACTGAGCCGACCTGTGACAGTCTCATTGTCAGAGGTCGGCTAGAACTATGAGGTGAGTGGAAATCACTCATCTCATAGTTCTCCTTTAAGGAAAAGTATCAGTACTTGTACTTCGTCAGGGGAAAATGGTATCGCTGCATCCCTAATTTAAAGCCTAAGTGACCTCACAGTTTGATTCAGCAACATACATTGCAGATGCATCAAAACAAAACATGCAAAGTTCATTTTCTTTAGAAAAGCAGCCACAGCCCGAGTAGGAAAGCCTAGCCCCTGTCAGCATGCTGCAGGGAAGGACCCTTGCTGTTGATGTAGAAGCAGTGGTTTCTCTGCTGTGGTCAACACACCCCTGCTGAGTCACACCTGGAGCTCTCAATTAGGAGAAAGCATGAGTTTTACTTATTAGAAAGCTCCAGATCTGCCTCGGCATGGGGTGTCTGACCTCTGCAGGGGCCACAGCTTCCACACAGAGAGCAAGGGTCAGTCTCTAAAGCAGGGATAGGCAATCTCAGCACTCTAGCTGTGTTAAAACTCTAAATCCCATCATGTCTCTGAGAGTCACGTCTGTGGCTGTCAAGAGTCTTGCGATAACTCATGGGAAATGTACTTTCACAGCAGCTGGACTGCCAAGGTTGCCTACCCTTGTTCTGCAGCTTGCTGGCATGGGACAGGTTTTTCTACTGAGGCTACTTTTCTAAGAAAAACAAACTGTAAGACTTTGCACACCTTTTGTTTTGGACCTGGAATATATTTAGCCGATATAAACTGGGCTTTACATCTAAAGTTTTGTGTTTAAATACTTTAATCTGATGTTCAAATCTAATGTTGTCACATTCTAGAGCAACTCATGTGAAGTAGAAAAGGTCTACTTCTTGTAGTTTGTGCTTTAGAACTCACAATACTAGGGCCAGTTTTCAACTCCCCCCTGGGATAGTTCATCCTTTATGATCTGCATTAAATAAGTACTTCAGCCAAAATGACAAGATACAAATGAATAGCCCATTTAAACAAAAAATAAAACCAGCTTTTGCTGCAATATTCACCTTCAAGCCAGAGATTTCTGTCACAATTCCTTTTTTCTGCTGCTAGATGTTCTGTGTTTGATGGCCACCATCATTCAATCCACTTCCTCTGAACCCAGGACCTTTTCCAGTCTGACTGGACAGTGAAAAGAGAAGCAGCACAGTGACAAGCTCACTCTCCCCCTATCAGCATGCTGCTTGTCCGCACATGCTGATTGGCTCCTTGTGCTGTTATGTCCTCTCACACTCCAGTTCTAATGTACAAGGACTGCAGGCGGCTGATAACAGGTCAAATTCCGCTACTTACGCTGCCTGTATTTAAAAGACATTTAATAACGGCTGTAGTAACAAGCGGGTCTTTCCTGTCCGGGGGCGCGCGCGAGCAGGAAAAAAATGCCGTCTGACGACGGCAACCCGCAGATAGGAGTCAGCCGTCCGTCCGTTTTTTTCTTAACGGGCGGATGGCAAGAGGTTAACTTTAACAGAATGAATGTATATTTTCTATCTGCCCAGAGTTCAGCTTAAACCTTTAGTATTTATATGAGGCATTTGCACAGGCAGAATATAGTAAAGTAAGGCAAAGACTTCTTCTGTAACATGTATGGAAATGTGTTCACCATAAATACTTAACTGACTTCACAGAGAATGCAGCTTTATAGCAACTACACTGCTATATCTGCGTTCAGCGATTCCACTCTTGGGTTTTTCATAGAGTAACAACACTGATGGCGTGTTCACACCATGTCCGTTGAGCTGTGTTTTTCTGCACACCACCGCACATGTATGGTATTAACAGTTTTTCTCTAGGTGCCCTGTCCACATCATGCATGTGCAGTGCTGTACAGAAAGTTCAACGGACATAATGAAGAAGCCCTTAAAAGTGACACTGAACTCAGGAGTTAAACCGTAAAAATGCATTAAACTATTAACAGAAATGTATCTTAATTGTGTATCACTCAGCTGTAGATCCTCAAATCACCTCTGAATTCATGGTGACACTGTCCTTCAGGATGGCTACTGTTGTTCCCCATGGTCCCTGTGTGTGTTGTAAATTAGCCACCGCTCCAAGCTTGCTCCTGTGATGGACTACAATCTCATGTTTAGTTTACTGATTGTATAGAGATTGTAGTCCATTATGGGAGCGAGTTTGGAGCGGTCACTACTTTACAACACACACAGGGACCATGGGGAACAAAAGTAGCCACCCTCCAGAAGGAAGGACAGTGTCACCACCAATTCAGAGGTGATTTGAGGATCTACAGCTGAGTGATACACAAATAAGATACATTTTTGTTAAAGGAGAACTATGAAGTGAGTTAAAATCACTCATCCTCATAGTTCGAGCTGATGTGCGACAATGAAACTGTCACACGTCCGATGTGCGACAATGAAACTGTCACACGTCGGCTCAATAGATCGGGAAGTGAGCAAACGCATTCAGTCGCTCGCTCACTTCTCGATCGTCTCTTTGCAAAGAGCAGCGACTGTCACTCACGGCTCCCTGCAGGGATTCCCGATCCTCCAACGAATTCCAGAGGCCGAACACTCTGGAACGCAGACTTTGTGGTGTGAACCGGCCCTCTCTCTTGGCTGTCTCCTCTCTCTCCTAGCTCTCTGCTGTCTCTACTCTCCCGCACTCCAGCAGCCTTCTCTCAGGTGTGGTGTCCTGTCCTCCCACGGTGCTCGTGTGGCTGAATGTGCAGACTGGGAGAGGTGTCCTCGCTCCTTCCCATCTGCAGCGTCTGACGGATTCAGCCGCACGAGCACCGCGGGATGGCAGGACACAGGTCAGTGAGCCGATCGCAATCTACCAGTGTTCGCTTTGCGATCTACTGGTAGATCGCGATCGACGTAATAAGCACCCCTGTATTACAGAGAACACTCTGAGTTCCCTCCTCCTCC